TGGGGGGGGGCACCTATCACAATGTTAGTATAACAAGGAATGAACTAAATTAAACGTGTTATGCCGCGTTACATCAGGGGCGTGCAAATTCTCAACTAACCAATAAGTTTTAGGAGGGAAGGAGCACCGAAGTGGGCAAGTTTTCTTTCTTTCTTTTCTTTCTTTTCGCAGGAGGTAATCATTTCAACCACCCAGGTGGTCCTACCTACTTAGGCTTAGTTAAAAAACTACATTTCCGGGCAAAACCTTGAAAGAGCAAATGGTCGGTGCTCATCATTCCCTTCGCTTTTGATACAGTGCTGATATAACAAGGATTAACACGTTAGACTGAGTTCATTTCTTGATATACTAACCTTTGGATGCGACCTAAATAGAGCGTAATAAAGGCCTCAAAACTAGCTCGCAATCAGTTGACGTACAAACCCAGAGGCGGACGAGTTTTCATGGTGTTGTAGAGGCATGAGAAGTTCCGCCATTCGCACCGGGACACACACGTTGCACGCTGGCAGCTTACTCCATCCAACTTTACGCAATGGCACACACATATGGACAGCTCGTCCAAATGTCCCTTTTATGCATATTGTCGTAACATGCTCGTCGAGTCCCAGCCCTTGAATTAACTTCTTCGAAGCCTTAAACATCTCTGAATACGCTGATTTTTGCGTTTTCTTCGCCACTTTTGCACTATTCTAGACTATCAATTCCATTATTCGCCTAGAATTGATTACCTTAAAATCGTCGTTAACTGTGCCATTTATCCTGTTCCTCTTGCTAAGGTTTTTGGCATTACTCCCATACCCAATGAAGCTCGTACATTCAAAGTATTAGTCATTCACATTAGCCGCAAGTCATTAGCCACAGTCCAAACAAGCTTATCAAGTAGTATCAGTATATATAAAGCCTGGTCTCAGTTCAGGATGCAAGTCGAAATGGCAATGCTCCCGTCGGTCCAATGCTGAGGAGGACGTCAGTTGTTTTAATCGCAAGCTGGGCTGAATGGCTACGAGTAACTTTACAGTGAACTGCCACAGATCGCAGAAAAACTGTAAAGTAAAGTAGGCGCTGCAACTTTTCACGTTTAAATATATAGATTATTTATTTATGAAATAAAACCTAGTGATGTTCCTGATGCTCGGTGCAATTATGCGGTTTTAGTTCTTCTGCCTGCTTTTTTGCCAATAAAATTTATTTTTGATTGTCTCTGCTAAAATATACACATGTACAAAGTATCTCAATGTATTCACAATTAAAGAAACCACAGGAGGTAGGCATAAAGAGGAGACACCCAATATACAGAACATCAATCAGCACGAGAAAGCTGAATAGGCTAGCAATAGGGGAAGCGGGGGATTAATTAAAGTAACGATTGAAAATTAGTTGAAAGACCGGTGAAAGAAAATGATATGAATTCCGAAATACAAACTCAATACTGCTATGAGCTTACATGACCTCTACAGGAGAAACATCGTTGGATCGACATCCAGATTGACATCAATCAATTGATCTGTGTCGATATCCAAGGAGCTATCAATAGTTTGCGATTCAGATACCTGAAAAGTAACTTGAAAACGATCAGTCTTCCCGCAGAAATACCCCACCCACGCATACGGCAAAAAAAAACAAGCGCAGTCTGGGAATTCAAAATTCGTCCCCAACACAGTTCTGGAGAAAGTAATCAGAAACACGCAACAGACTCATGAGAAATTGGAGTAGACTTTCCGGATTGAGACCTCTAGAACTGTCCAACATAATTCCAATCGGAAATAAGAGTGGCACTGGCAATTGGTTGGGAGGCTGATGTTCATGAAGCATGGCGATTACAATGCCCCTTTTTGAGTTGCTCTTTTCGACAAGTGGAAAAATGGCATGAATCTATCAGGCACCCCATTTCCACACCTATACAAAACGAACTTCTGCTATGAATTCGTTCTTCTCTTCTTCTTACCGACACATCGAAACTAAGAGCGAAATGACGACAGGTAGTGTAAATGAAAACTACCTTTCTTCCATTCATACGTGCATCGATTTCTGCTCGAACTTCTACCAATGCGTGCTCGAATATCTTCTCCAACGTCTCTGCGCAATGGTAAACGTTGCTATCCTATAAAAATGACAAATACGAAAAGTGTAGTCAACACATTGAAGTCACAAAGGCATTACCCGTGGATAAAAAATCCTTGCATTTTCAAATAGACGGGACATATCCCTCGTGAAATCCTTTAACCGCTGATACTCAAGGTTTTCTAGACGCTGTTGGATGATTGAAAGATCTGCAATACCAATTTATTGCAATAGTTTGCTGTACTCACCACCATAATTGAGAACCCTCATGTTCGCATTTGCTACCTTTCGACGGATGAAGAATAAGCAATCGCTCACCAATCGGGTGCTCTACCACGTCCAAATAGTTGGGAAACTCTTCAAGGCTAACTGGTTGCCGAAACGGCCATGACATTCGATGATCAGCTACACATTCGAGAAGGCGCCACACCAATGGATAATCTGCCCGACTAAAAAATCCGTTGATGAATAAAGTTTTTAGCTGAACTTGATCGGAAAAAAGCGGAATCGGAGTCGTCAAACTCACCAAAGGGTAGCATGAGTACTGCTAGCGGAGCTACTGGCTGATTCATAGCCTTGCGTCGTCTGCGCTTCTGTGCACGAAGGACACACATACTCGTCCATGGCTTCAGCTTCTCTGAAATTTGATCATGCTCTCAACTATTACTACGGAGAGACATAATGAAAGAACACTTTTTGCCCTCGGAAGCTTTTGCATGCCCGCACAGGAACAGAATTCCAGTAGGGGCATTTCACAGCAGCAAACAGTAGTAAAGAACGAAGTTTGAAGTACAATTCAAAAGTAATTACTTCCAAATTGTCCTCAGCGCTAGGATTCCAGGCAAGTTTTACAAGTGAACACAACTTCAAACTACTGAAGTTGTACTTAGTAAAAGCCCAGTGAAAGTAACTTACTCTTTTGTAATTCCTACACACTTCGGATGGTACCAGCCTTCACAACTCTCACAGCCAACGTAGAACCTGAAAAACCATCTTTGAAGAAACTCGCAGTGAATGAAAAAGTCAAAAAGTTCAGTATGAGGTATAGAGAACAGGGTGCCCGGAAAGCAAAATATGGGTTAAGTCCCATCCGAGACAAACCACTTTCCCAGTCACCACCCTTATGCGAATGGTGATTTTGGCACGACTCGGCTTCTTACTGGGAACCTCGCTGCAGTCAAACATTCCTTTAATGAACATTTGTTAGCACCGACTGTTCGATTCACAGTATTCCATGGCTTACGTAAGGTTTGTACGCACTTTAGATTGCCTGTACTTGTACTTTGTGCTGCTCCGTTCGGCACATAAATTACTATTACGCTTTTCAGTGTGTAATTAAAAACAAATTTGTTGCTAAGAGAACGACCGCTTAATCAACGTAACATCATAAAAACACAACACGCTCCTCCTAGTCAAACTATGTATACAGGACAGAAGAAACCTGCCCCTTCACATACAACTAGTTCATAGCGACAGCAAACAATAAGCCAGAGAAAGAAGCAGAACCGACAGTTTGGATCGAATCGAGGAACATTTGAGGCTGGCAGAAGCCCCCGAACTCAATGACATCGACCAACCACGCAGCGTGCCCGCCAAACTCTGGGCATCACAAGGAAAGTGTAAATGCGGCTTCATAGCCAGAACTTTTACCCAATACTTAATATGCAGAAAAGCCACCGTTAATAATTTAAAAAATACCGATTTTCTCAGAGGAAATCACGGCAAAAAGGAACCCACTCGTTATCGTTGTAGGGTGTGCGACATGTACAATAGAGCACTTGCTCTTCACATGCTTTCTGTGTTTCCTGTATACACTCTGGACACGTCCATCCGTCCATCTCCTTTGCACTCTCTTCAGTTACGTCCACACAATCACCATGAAACCACTTGAAGCACATTTCACAGGCGATGTAGAACCTNTGCCCGCCAAACTCTGGGCATCACAAGGAAAGTGTAAATGCGGCTTCATAGCCAGAACTTTTAACCAATACTTAATATGCAGAAAAGCCACCGTTAATAATTTAAAAAATACCGATTTTCTCAGAGGAAATCACGGCAAAAAGGAACCCACTCGTTATCGTTGTAGGGAGTTCGACATGTGCAATAAAGCACTTGCTCTTCACATGCTTTCTGTGTTTCCTGTATACACTCTGGACATGTCCATCCGTCCATCTCCTTTGCACTCTCTTCAGTTACGTCCACACAATCACCATGAAACCACTTGAAGCACATTTCACAGGCGATGTAGAACCTTGAATCGGATCATAAATAGAGATTAGTTCGAAGAAAAGCCGAAAAACTGATCCAGACCTATTTGGGTTGTAACGGGTGCGACATATGCAGTGGAATGTGTTGGGATTGGAACCAAGAGGAGACGGTTTATCCCTCACTGGTTTCTGGAAGGCACATCGATTTGAGACCGAGATATAACCTCAGAGAAGCGATAGTTTGAGAAAACGTCTGAAAACTTCCATCAGCGTCACCTACTTCCGTATCTTTGTAATGCCGTTTTCGTGGACGCCCTCGTCTTCTTAATTCAGACCCGGATGAGGAGCTCTCTTCATGAGACCGCTCGTATATCTGAATAATATCCACTTGAACAGCAGACCTTTTGAATAGGAAACTGCTATACACGTTGCTAGCACATATTCCAAAAAGGACAGAAACTGAAAAAAAAAAAACGTTTTCACCCTTTTCTTGTATTTTGGTGTGTTCGGTAGGGCAGGACCACGTTTGGAAGGCTGCCAATCAGCCACAGTAGTTGACTCTTCTACAGGCTCTGGCTCGTCTTTCACCTCCTTAGCTTCACTATCACCTTCATTTTTGCTATCGCATCCCTCCTGTAAGAAGAGATTGGTCCCAAAGGAATTTAAACTGATACATTCTGATGTTCTAAAGAGAAATCAACAACAATATGACACGTGTAACTTTCATAATGCGCCGATGGCTTCGAAGGAAATTGAAAAAAGCATTATAGAGAGATTGTTATTTATGAGATTAAGCTGTCATGCGTCTGTTTTTCGTCGCTTTCCACTAAACTATCAGTATTGGCAACGTTTCTGAGCTAGCATAGCTGGAGTGGTTGGCTAAATGCTCGTGAATGGGAACCTTAACGGAAATTGTATGATTTTGTTATATAAGTGCTTCTAAAGATGTCAACAAAAACTGAGTGACCCCAGTAGGCCAAGCCAAGCTAAGAGCTTGACTTTGGCCTGATTACTGAAGCAAAATGAAATAGAATGGAAACAAACCAACGTCTCACCTCTTTTGGTACCGCTGAGCTCTTTTGATCTTTTGTCCAGTCCACGGCATCTCCTCCCAAACTGATTTCGGCTGGATTGATTGCCACTGGTGGAGGCCGATCCACACCAGTATTTTTCGTGTTGTTCGATACTCGAGAAGCTAGAACTACATAAGTTGTTTAATATCCATGACCACAATTTTAGGGCGTCCAATGGGAATCCCATCAGATCAATGCAAACTCTTTGATAAAATTTCGCGTCCCAAACACTTACCATCGGTATTCTTCTCTACGGGTGTAACCTTGTCCGACTCAAGAAGATAACCGAATTCTTTCCAATCCTGGTCGACAGTCGGAAACTTCGGAAAGAGCTCTTCACTAATAACATCGGTGAGGGTGGACGATGTGGAAGCAGAACGATGAAACGAGGAGCTACTCGACTGCGTTCGAGGTAAAGGACGGATTTCGAGATTCATAGCGAGCAGCTTGTGAACATTGCGAGAGAAAAGGCTGATCTCTAGACCATTGCGCAGTTTGGGCGATCGCGTCCGGCTGATGACCCTCCCAGCCACCACACTCTCTCGTTACGTCTCAGCACCGCTAGTAACGCTTTGTCCCCATTCCATTAGCACACAGTCTCCATGGTTCGCGAACTATCTCGTCGTCGTCGAGTGACCACTGCGTGACCGGCGAGGGCTGGTCTCACGTGATGATGAAATCCACTTCATAGGAAGCCTCCCTGGTGGTCAAAAACAGTGGTCTGACAGGAATGTAATGGATTCGAAGTCCTGCACATTCCTGCACATTCCTTGGGGGTTCCCGTTATGAAGTAACTAGAAGTCATTACAAACTTGGTTTCTTGATATGATAGATATCCATGGAAGATGAGTACTCGACTTTTTTACTCATTCTTTGTGGCCTACGCAATCATCACATGGGCAAATTTGGTTGAATGGGCCCGCTGGTGGTGAAATGTCGAAGGGAACCGATCTGAGACAGACAGTCGCTTATAACAGCACAGCCTTCCCTTCAGGGTCGATAAGTGGTTCATATTCGTCAGGGAGCATGAAAGCACCGGCTCGTTTATCGCTAGCCACCGTACTTCGTCACTGTGAAGGCCCCACACGCATTGAACGCTTATAGGTGGAATTTGAGTGCGGGGCGCAACCCAAAACGCGATTAATCAACGCCAAGGGCTTTAACTTTTCGACCTTTCAAGAAATCCCAAAGCTTTTTGATTCCTGAGGTGAACGTTATAAAAAAAGATCATGAGTATATCACTGAATTTTACCTATTTGAGAAATTCATAAAACTTTGAGGTGATTGTCATTTCCGTCATGGTAATCTCGTACAAACTCTATTTTCACTACCTTTGAGGAGCCTTGTTTTCTGCGAAATTGGCGACTTTTCTCGCTCACTTACCACCGATGCACTATTCCTAACCGGTACTTCCACTTTTTGACATAAAACGGATATCTCGAATTTATCGTGAACTGTGCCTTTAATGGGAAATACGTAAATAAACCAGTTACTTCAGTTACTTAAGACACGTCCACTTCTCAGTGCTACTGATTAGAGTCATACCTCTCATGTGAGACTTCATACGCGATTTCCTCCATGGTGTCGGTAACCCACACAACTCCTCAGCTTTATTTTCCATTTGCGTTCTCCTCTTATTGATTTCCTTCCGCAATCTGTCTATATGTTCTGCTAAGACGGTTTCTCGTTGGCTTACAAACATTCGACGTCTGAACGGAAAACATGCACCCACTAGAAATACTCTATACACAACTGTAAGTACCTGAATCGGTCAAAATGTGGTCTAGTTGGTCTCGACAATAAGTTTTTATGCCATCCAAACTGCTTGTCCCAACGACATACTTGGATCACCATGGTTTCCAATACCTGAGTATTGGTAAGTGGAATGTTCCTATAGAACAGAGGAAATCTGGTCTCTAACATCAATAATTTCAAAAAATCTATTTCTAAAATGCAGTAAAATGATGCTAGTACCTGCTTCACCGCCCGCGTATCTGGACTGTCATCCCTATGAACCATTAGATTGGATGGATATCGTGGGAGAGCTGGCTGCGAGTAGAAACCCATTCCAAAACGAGACGGTGTTACTATTCGTGCGTGCTCCCCAGGGTCCTCATCATAGGGTCGTCCCGCTGCTAAAAGAAAACAGTACTGAGCATTCAGAAGAAAGCCATGGCACATAGCGCACGTACGATCTCTAGCTCCAGGCTCTGGTCGTCCCCCTTTGTCAGCTTCCTCCTGTCGCATAAGCTCTTCTTCCCTTGCTATTGCCTCTGCTATCGCTCTTTCCTCGTCCTCGTTATTTTCGAAATCGAAACGATACGCTCGTGTAGATGACCTAGTGTTAAAACTCTGACTTGATGTTGAAATCTCGAATTGTGTTTAATCCAGTCATGAAGTAGGTGATGATATGAATACCTAAAGGCTGAAAAGGTAAAATCCTTTGACACATTCCCATTACTAAGTGATACGATTCTCGCTATTTTCTACATCCACAATTTGTTAGAATCTAATTGCGGTTAGGTAACGATTTGGTCAATAACTTAAATTGATTACATTAGCAGCAGCACTTCCAAGGACATATTTCTGAAGGCCTTCTCTACTATCCCCACAATATGTTTACAATCATTCGGCTCTTTCATTTCAATTCCCTGACTGGTTTGAGAAATCGTCTCACAAGGATGGCGATTGTTGGTAAAACATCGGCTTGGGACGGGACTTGAACCCGTAATTGTGCTTTCCTGGCATCGTTCCCTTTGTCCTTTACACTAACAAGACCGCGCTTACCCTCTTCTTCTTTATAGCTTCGACTAGAAGTTTCGTGGCCTAAATTAAAGGCACAGCTCACGATAAATCCCGTTGCTGGCTCGCAGGGCTCTCACGCCCTTCGATCGATGTCACGTCAGACGAGTGTCGAGGCGATACAGATTGCAATTATTGGTTCTAGGACCCACACACAATCAGCTGATCGCCGAGTGATGAGGCGATGTTTTTCTCCCATTCTTTTTTCCTCTGTTATTCTTTTTGCTGCCGTGATCCCTTAATTAATTTCCTACTTCTTGAGGCTGAAAAAGGTGAGCTAATTCTGTCGTTAATAGGGTGATTTTGTTTGTTTATGCTTATAAGTGAATTTTTGCTTACCGTAGTCAGTTATTCTCACCAGAACCAACACGTACGCAGTGAGAGGCATTGTATAGTTCGTCCAAACGCCCCACTCTTCTTNATCCCTTAATTAATTTCCTACTTCTTGAGGCTGAAAAAGGTGAGCTAATTCTGTCGTTAATAGGGTGATTTTGTTTGTTTATGCTTATAAGTGAATGAATTTTTGCTTACCGTAGTCAGTTATTCTCACCAGAACCAACACGTACGCAGTGAGAGGCATTGTATAGTTCGTCCAAACGCCCCACTCTTCTTCATTTTTCTGGTCTCATTCTCGTCAACCCCCTTTTAAACAATTTTTCGAAGATTTTCTCACTTTGGAAACACCGATTCACGCAGTTCCTTCACCTTCATCGCACTACTTTCTATGATATCTTCCATTTTTCGTCATAATCTGGATTACCCAAAATTGTCGTGAACTATGCCTTTAACCACTTTTACAACAACCTGTTGTACTTCGGCTACCAATATTCATTCCTTAAAATGCTTTAGCTTCATGATAAAACAAATGCAACAGTACGCAAACATAAGGAATAAAGAGCACGGTGAGCACAAGTACGGGTTCGAGTCCCGTCCGAGGCCGGAGTTTTGCTCATAATCGCATCGCCTACTGCAGCGAAATAAGAGTAGTTGAGTAAACATCAAATCAATACACACGTTTATCAAAGAAGTGTTATAAAGTGAACGATGATCGGCAAGTTTTTAGAATTCTACATTTTAGTTTTTAGAATTCGTGGTGTCGTTCTACAGACCCTGAGAATCATGGGACTTCCTCAACTATACACCAAATCGTGCAAAGTGATAACTGTTAGGCTTTCGTGAAGGCAGCTTAGAGGTGGGATCGAAAGAGTAGGAGGCTCACAGATGGTTCGTCTGCAGTTGACAACCTGAGGTGGAAAAGGTTCAAATGTCTTTTTTCCCAACATGGGTATCACTTCTGCAACCTGTCAAAGTCAGTTGCAGGGGCTGACTATGGATATGACATCAAACTCATTCTTCTTCACCATTGAGCTTTATCAGTCTCTCGACATGACTCTATGGGTGGAAAATTAAGACGACTTGACATTGGCATTAGTACGACCTCATAATGAATTTCCCACAGCAGTGGTTTTATTTTTGCTGGGCTAAATGTGCTATAAAAACTGAGAAGTCCCACCCGTAAAATTTCATGAAAATTTTTACAAAATTTGAATCACCGGATGTCGGAACGGAGCAGTCCGAATGTTGGCATGCGCAGGCTATCGAAAAAAACGTGATCTGGAAACAGCCTAAGGGGAAGCAGAAGCATGTACTGACCTTGGCTATTGCTTGCTGTGTGAATTCTAGGGATCGACCCAGTGTCTCAGGTTTCCAATTTCGTTACCGTTCTCAATTGCAAGTTGCCTCGCTTGAAAATCCTTACGTACTGGATTAATTATGGATTACTGCCCGATTAATGAACATTTTGGCACCATATGTCTGCGGATTTGAGGACAATTTTCATGAATAAGAACCGCACCTCATATTGACTCCTCTTCTTCTGCAGAACTCCCTGTAGCTTGTTATTCGACGTGCTGGCAGTGTGGAACCAAACTGAGACAGAACCACTTCAAGTTAAATCAGCATGAATAAACAACTACCATTGCACAAGCATTTAACCAATGGTCATCTATTACAAAATGGAGTGACAACCACATGTCCGAGATTCTTAGCTGCGAACTTTGGCTGACAGTAGACTCAAAGCCATCCGTGAGCCCTTTGGTTTTTCTGAGCGCACCGGATTACACTAGCGATCCCATAGCTTAGACTACACAATAATAATCTTTAGCTGATTACCTGGCGGCTCTTCCACCCAAATCCACTCTTGTGGCCCTTCCCAACCCCTAAACAGCTAACTTTCATTCGCTTTCCCACTTGAAATCCAAAAATTGTACTGATCGTGTGAGACACATCACAGGATAAAACATTTATTCAGAACATCAATGAGGTCAATAAAGCATTTCGAATTATAAAAACGTTACCAAAAGTTTTCAAATTATTGACCAATAACACGATTTTGTTGGAGCTAACATCATGAAAGAGGACAAACTGCTTAATCATCAAAACAATTGAAAGGAAGTTGTGGCCACAAGAGCCTCACACGATCAGAACAACGAGAAATATTCTCAACAATAATGACGCAAAGTTCCAATGAAAGAACTACTCCCGCTGAATTAAGACTTACAAATCAGTTAAATAAGATCGCGATCACCTGGTCATTGCAGGGGAGAGCTAACAAACTCAATAATGAAAATAAATATATTCCTAGATATGAATCACAAAATTAGAAATGCGCTTGCTTCAAGCCGGTTGGGGACGGACTTTGCAAAACTGGTAGGAACTATTACACCATGAGGGTCAAGATGTATATACTCCGGAATGGTTTGAAATTTCACTGCCGTCGATAGCATAGCCGTCGTTATCATACACAACTTCCTCACGAACATAACTCTCCACCGGCGCTGGCGCCAGCACCACGCGCGATGGGACCGTCACGGCGTTTTTTACGTAGTAAACCCGTTGTGAATTCTAAACATGCACTACCATAATCGCACAAATTTGGGAGCAGAAAACTAGTATGCGCCTTCATCACCAGAAAAAAAAACAATAAGATAAAAGGTCAAGAAAAGGTACTTACAGGATTTGGCTGCACTCTAGTTCCACCAACTATAGGCGTAGGGCCACGTGCAGTTACTCGATGTACGGATGAGTTTTGAACGTACCTGAAGTATTCGGTACAATTGAGAAACACTTCTTTTCAACCATTGCAATTTACAGTCTCTGTTTCAAGAAAGAACTGAGCCCAAATCATTTGATCTCATTTCCACTTAAAAGTGAAGCCATATGAATACTGGACGAGAAAGTTGTTCTTGTTTATCGAAGTTCTAACGAATGAGCAAAACGAAAGGAAGGAATGACAAACAATAATACCTGGGCTGATGCAACCTGTCAGGAGTTTGGAATCCAACTCGTACTCCTTGATCGCTGTATACCACCTGCTCCTGAGAAACATGCTTTCCACACAAATTTCTTGAAGAAAGGATGACCAAAACGGTAATATCACTCACATCTCCTTTTGCAACTTGCTCAGAATACATTTCGCCGCGCAACTCTACCTGCCTCGGAATATGGGAAACCTATAATTTAATACTAATAAGACTGAACTTTGGAAAAGCATGACACATCAAAAAGAGATTTCTAATTGGACACCAACCATTCCTTGCGAGGTCGTCGTTGAACCCGATACAGTTTTCTCGACTGCCATTCTCTTCATGAAGGGGTCTTTCGATTGATCGTAACTAGTCCTCACCATAGATGGCTCACTTGCCACGACCAACCGCGGATGTCCAGGCTGCTCTTGTTCTCTGCCCTAAAGCATGGTAACTGTTCGATGCCACATGAAGAAGATACAGATGAAACCTACCGAAATTTGCACTACTCTTGAACCTGGTGCAACACGGATATTTTGCGGAAGTCTACTCATTGAAGGTGTCGGACTGAAACACAACTCAGAATTTAAAAGTTTAGAATGACATCACCTAAGGGTCTTATAAAGAGCCTGCTAAAGATTTAAAAGAAGTGTCACGGACGTTGATACTGCTTCATCCAAGGGTTGAGGTATTTGCCGTAAGAACTGCGTTGTGCCGTCCGAACGGCGAACCATTAACAATTTCCCTGCACCAGACGGAACAACTAACGGTGACCGCTGAAAAATAAAGCATTTCCCGTGATCTGGTCGAAATCGGTAGTGGGGCAACCTACAGAAGCTGTAGATGCAGGCTGAACTACTCGTGTACCCGTTAGAGGAGACAATACACGAGAAGATGTTACGCGTCCGCTATACGATCCACCAGTATTATCAAATCTGAAATTGGAAGAGTAAATACAAAACTTTGCTACCAGTACAATAAGGTAGAGTACTGAAAGTAGCGGACCTTGGGATAACTGGAGGCCCGTCAGTGGAAACTCCATTACCAGCGATCTGCCTGGATGAAACTACATGGCGAGATGGTACAGATCCTTCTCCACTAACATCACTGGTTACGATTGTTTCTTCAGCACCGAGTGGAACAACACTTTCTTCTAGCAGTCCCGCGGGCTGCATGCCGTCCCCAACCGGCTGAAATAATCTTTTTTGTAATACAGAATTGAAAGCAAAGAAGAAGATAGCAATTGCGCGATCAATTCAACTGAATTAACAACAGAAATTAGCTTGTTGTAAAGAACATGAGGGGTAAGCGGTGGGCCATAGTGTTCTAATTATATAGGTAAACTTTTACTTTTAACCTTTAACTAAGGAACGTAAATACCCGCTGGCAGCTATTTTAACCGACCGAATTTGAACAGCATTTCAAGGGCCAAGGGGTAGATGTAACGAATCGAAAATTTCCCGAATTCTTTCATAGGCATGAAACTGATCATCTACGTTTTACCTAATGCGGAACAATCTGAAGAGAAAGCAAAGATATCGGAGCNAAGATAACAAGATAGATGCCATGGATAGAAGTGTTCCCAGTAGCAACAACAAAGGCACATGAGGCACATTGCTGCCATCTTCGCCCAACACGAATGCCCTTTCCTCAAATAGACCGGCCATGGAGGTATCGATCCCCATGTGAATGGAACAGGAGACAAGCAGGCGTGTTGTTGGTCGGTTCGCTTTAAAGTGCACCGTGCTATGCAATCAATACAGGGGGTGGTCCGTGGCAAACGGCCAAGATTGTTATCGGAGAGCGCGCAGTTGTTTGAGGCGAGGTAGTTGATCGCGTGAAGTTATATCAACAACTAAATTCCTATGAAATTATATAGCTCCAAGTACAGTTGAAACCAAAACCTTATGATGGACTTGATCCGTCTCTCCTAGAGTGTTGTGCTTCAGAAGCTTATTCGGACGAGCGTATTAGACAGCAAGGGGACGGAAGGGAGGGATAGGATGAGGGGTTATTTTGATATGGCCATACCATGCAAAATCATGGCTACGCATGAAAGGCGTTCAACGGATGAAACTGGAAGTCTGAGAGCTACTAAAAAAAGAGGCGAGTGCGAAAGAGGTGATGTCGCAAGCCAGAAGGATGCTATACCATGTCATGGTACTGATCGAAGACGAAACATCGCTGCCTTTTAAGGGACTGAAGACAGCTGTCATTTGGGAAATGCGGCCGCAAAGGCATTAGCAATGAGAGGGTATCCTCGTCGTCGGGGGCTTCACAAAGAAGATTAATCCATACGAAAAATTTGCCGTTTAACGTTTAACAATGAAAAAAATGGCCCAGCCGCGTCTTCGAAAACCGCTAATGCACGAATTTCAAACTGGGGGCTGTTTCGTGAAGAGTCACGTAATCTTCAGTAACTGAGGCCACTTCGCTTGTTGGCCATTCCAACAGCAATATACAATAGAACAAAAAATAAAACAAATAAATAGAAATACAACTCGAAAAGACATCGCGAAGTGGAGAAAAGTGCGACAGGAACTGGACGATACGGTCTCGTAAATTTTTTGAGGATTCTCTTGAAAGCGTTCTGTCCTGTACTCCCACAAAGCGTTCTCACAGTTCAGCGCAACTCAAAAAAAGTGATCAGCAGCAAGCGGCAGGCATCTCCGCGTGATGCTTCAGAGGCATGCGGACGCGGCAGAGTGCTCCTTGTTTGTTTGTTTACATTACTATGAATAGCTCTAACAGCTTTAAACAGTTCACCTTAGAAACGAAAGCGCTCCTGCTCAAAGGCCGTACCAGCGGAGCGAACGATACGCAGCCCTTTAGCGTCGAACGGCGACTCTTGCCACCTTATCATCGGGTGGGCGACGTTAATCTCGACTGACATTAATTCGCGCCGAGGGGCGAAGTGACCTCATTAATGATTAACCTCATCTTATTACGCGCCTCCCCTTGAACGTAACTAACCTTATCTTATATGAGAGTGATGGCAATGATGATCATAGTTAGAAAATGAAATTCCAAGAAAAAGTTTTTCAACGTAAGATTTTAATGGTCTTCGGTTT